TTTATGTTTTTAATTAGTTTTGCTTGACTTTTACTTTTGAAATTACACACTTTTGGTGTAAATAGATTAGATTGTTAAATTCTTGTAAATAGGTTAGATTAGATATATTCTGAGCTCAAACAGGTTTTGGTCACTCGAAGTACAGTTGGTGAACCCAAAAAGTGAAAAGAAGGTGCAAAAGTTCAAAGACAAAAGAAGATCCTGAATTTTGGTCTATACTCGGTCGAGTATTAGCTATACTCGATCGGGCATTAGGTTGGAACTTCAAATCGGATCAGATCCGAAGACAAGGGAACATGCAGGGAAGATTTCGGCCACGATTTTATGTCTATACCCGATCGGGTAGACCGACATACCCGATCGGGTATGCCTTTGAATTGCAAACGAAGATCGGTCGAGTATGGTCCGAATACCATTTTCTAAGCATACTCGACCGGGTATTCATATATACTCGATCGGGTATACCCTTAGAAAATAGCCTGAAACCGGTCGAGTATGCCTCGGATCGAGTGTTACACACGTACTCGATCGGGTACCATGTATATACCCGATCGAGTACCCGAACCCCATCCCAAAAACCTATAAATACACCTCCTTTCCTTCACAAAAAGAGATCCAATCCCTTTGTACATCTAAGCTCAGTATAGAATAGCTCTTTCTTTATATTTTTCATCATGTTTAGTCTCCAAATGAGGAGCTAAACTCTTCCATCTTGGTTTTGCTACTTTGAAGCTTAATGAATTTGTAAGTTGTGAGTTATTTTCTTTAATCTTCTTCCTTGAATATTAATTCTTTCTTTCAAAATACTATCTCTATATCAAAGTTGGGGAGTGTTACTAAGATGACAATTAGTTAACATCTTGACATTGGTTATAGTAATAGCTATTTCTTCCTCTATGATAATATTGGGGAGTGTTACTAAGATGACAATTAGTTAACATCTTGATATTAATCATAGTAGGATTCATATATTTTAATATTCTTCCTTGAGTATTGATTAATTCCTATTCATATTTCATGTTAATATCTTAAACATTACTTAAAGTATCAACTAGTATTGTTTCTCATATTAATTATTACTAGAATCGATCGGTTAATACGCTTGTTATTAATCTGGTTCTTTCTACGGTAGTAAACTTGGAATATTAATGCATGCATCTCATGGTTAATATGCCAAGGGGAATTAATTATATTGATTAAACCAATAAACCGCTTGTGTTGAGGTTATCAATCTCAATCGTTTTCATCTTAAGTTTATTGCTACTATGAAGTTAATATACGGCGCTTGTTCTATATTGATTCGATAGTAAGTTTTATTAATGAACGCATCTTGTTATTATTAACTACCCTCGATGAACTGGATATACTCCTCGATTGAGTATTCGAGAGGAAGATAGTTAAAGATATAACCGGGATCGACGAACATTTCATTAAGTGGATAAAAGCAAAACCAAGTCTTCATCTCATTGAATTAAACTCATATAGGTTGTTTATCTTAGTGTTTTTTAAACCAAACAAATCTAAACCCCCCTTTGTTACTACTTTTATAAAAGAAAAGTATTCATTTCCCTGTGGATACGAACCTTACTACACTATACTACGTATTAGTGTTGTATTGATTATTTATTTTGAGTGCACCTAACGACTAGTGCACGTCAAATTTGGCGCCGTTGCCGGGGAAAGGCAATTAATTTTTCTTTTATTTCATATCAAGAAAAATCAAAAAAAATATTAAAAAAAAAATTATAAAGAGTGTTTATTTTTCTATTTTCTGAGCTTAGTGGAGTTTATGGTTAAACATCGCTCCATAAACAAAATCACATATCAAACAAACCCAGAAATAGAACAAACTTTCGAGCGGTTGAAAAGTAAATTTTCTGATACCGACTCAGAGGAATCATCTATCAGAGATTCATCCAGCGCTAGTTCTCATTCTAGCGAAACCGAAGAGTCAATAACCATGGCTCTTGAGACAAGAACACTACGGGAGCTCACTGCTCCAAATCTCAATCAACAACCATTATGTATTACCTTCCCTACACTCGATGAAGGTAATACATTTGAGCTAAAATCTGGGCTCATACATCTACTGCCATCCTTTCATGGCCTAAGAGGAGAAGATCCGAACAAACATCTTTCTGAGTTCCATATTGTGTGCACAAGGATGTGCCCCAGTGGTGTCTCGGAAGAACAAAATAAATTGAGGGCTTTTCCATTCTCCCTCAAAGACACTGCAAAGGATTGGCTATTCTATCTTCCTTCGGGAAGTATAGACACATGGGCAGCAATGAAAAAATGCTTCTTGGATAGGTACTATCCCGCCTCAATCTCATCTTCTTTAAAAAAACAAATAATCAACATTGAGCAAAAAGAAGATGAAACATTGTATCAATATTGGGAGCGCTTCAAAAAGTTGTGTGCTAGTTGCCCATATCATGGGTACACCGAGCAAGACCTCATCCTCTATTTTTATGATGGTCTTGCGGATCAAGATAGGCGCATGGTGAATGCGGCATGTGGAGGGGGGATTGTCAACAAAACCCCTTCTCAAGCAAGGAATCTCATCTCGGAGTTGGCCGAGAACTCCAGACATTACAGTGGGCGATCCTCAACTCGAAGGGTTGCCGCAGCAGAATCCAACACCTCGTTGGAAGGCCAAATTTCCAGTTTGACTTCTCTTGTCAAAGAACTTCTTCTGAAACCAAACACTCAGGAGGTCAAAGCTTGTGGCATTTGCACAGCAACCGGGCACCCCACTGATTCGTGCCCATCCCTCCAAGAAGAACAAGTCAACGCCTTGAGTTTCCAAGGCCATCAACAGAAGAGGTATGATCCATTCTCAAATTCTTACAACCCTGGATTGCGGGATCATCCTAACTTGAGGTATGGAAACCCTCAACAATCCAACTCATCTTCTCAATCTGGTATGTCAACTGATGACATGATCCGGACTTTGACCTCAAGCATGGTTACCATGCAACAAAACATGGGACAATTTCAACAAACCATGATACAATTTCAACATGAGACAAAGTCAAGCATTAACAATTTGGAAACTCAAGTTGGTCAAATGGCAAATGCCGTGAACCGACTTGAAACGAAGGACTCGAGTAAACTCCCATCCCAAACGGAGCAAAACCCGAGACAACATGTGAATGCCATCATGTTGAGTAGTGAGGCAACATGGAAGGAGGTAGATCAAGAGGAGGACCCTGAAGAAGAAATTCAACCTGAGGAGGGGGTCACAACAACCAAGCTCCCCCCACCGTCATCATATGAACAAGTAGCCCCGTTCCCTGAGGCACTGAGAGAGACAAAGAAACCGGAGAAAGATTCTGACATCTATGAGACTTTCGCCAAGTGTGAGGTAAACATTCCGCTCTTTAACTCAATGAAAAGTGTTCCTCGTTTTGCTAAATTTTTAAAAGAATTATGCAAAACAAAAAGGAAAAATAAATTGAAAGAGAAACAAGAGGTTATGGTTAGTGAACATGTCTCATCTATTTTCCAAAATAAACTCCCCGAAAAATGTAGCGACCCAGGCATGTTCACTATTCCTTGCACGATAGGGGGCACCACATTTCCTAGGGCCTTGTTGGATTTAGGGGCATCAATAAATGTCATTCCTCATTCCGTTTATAAATCCCTACAACTTGGCCCACTACATCAAACCGGTGTAGTAATTCAACTAGCGGATCATTCTAGCACTTACCCGAAAGGTATGATAGAAGATGTGCTAGTAGAAGTGGAAAATATGGTCTTCCCTGTCGACTTTTATGTCCTCGAAATGGGAAATGATGACCAAACAACACCCATCCTTTTGGGTAGACCCTTCTTGAAGACTGCAAAAACTAAAATCGACGTGTCTAGTGGTTCATTAACTTTAGAGTTCAATGACCAAAAAGTAGAGTTCAATATATTTGACTCTACGAAAAAATAAATTGAAGATCAATCTCTTTGCTCTTTAAGTGTTGTTGAACCACAAGAACCATTTTTGTTGAAGAAATTTGATAAAATCTTTCAAGAAGAGGAGAAAATTGAGCATAGGGAGTCATCGGTGGTTGGAACAAAGTCATTGAGATGCAAACTTAAACCGCCGGCAATTGAGGTGTTGATGAGAAAGAAACCCCGGCCTTACTGGAAAAGGCCGAAGAATAAATTTGAAAAATGGCTAAATAAGGCCACAAAAAATGAATCAAGGGATGTTCACGATCCCACTTAAAAAAAATGAATAACGTCGTGCCACGACGTTAACTAAGGCGCTACTTGGGAGGCAACCCAAGTTTTTTTTTATTTAAGTGTGTATAATTCATTTTTTTTATTTAATTCAAGTATTTAGAATTCAATTTTTGTCTAATTATTTGAGAGATCAGTGAGGGAGGACACTAATCACGGGTTTTTGGAAGAAAAGAAATAAAAAATGCAGGTTTTGGAGCATCTGAGGACATACCCGATCGAGTACAACCTTATACTCGGTCGGGTATGACCAAAAACAAAAAGGACCGGGCATTACTCGATCGAGGAAGCACTCAAAAATTGAAAAACAAGGAATACCCGATCGGGTATCACTATACACCCGGTCGGGTATGCATAGAAATGCTAAAATTGAAGGAGACTGACTCCCACACTCGACCGAGTACCTGCTTCAAAAGTAGAAAAAAAAAAGCACATACCCGATCGAGTATGGAGGAATACTCGACCGGGTACCGGAGGCAGGCTATTCACAAATCTCATTTTCCAGACATACTCGACCGGGTAACAATACACTACCCGATCGAGTACAGGAGGCAGGCCGCTCAAAAACTCAACGTTCCAGCAATACTCGACCGGGTAACCATACACTACCCGATCGAGTACAGCAGGCAGACTGCTCAAAAAGGCCACTTTCCAGACATACCCGACCGAGTACCAGCACATACTCGATCGGGTATACGGGTATTATAACCCCAAATCAGCCCCAAAACACTTCGTCTTCTCCGAATTTCCAACCCTATCTCGAACAAAAACGCCCAAACCCCCATTTTTACACCTTCTCTCTACCATATCTCTTCCAAATCTTCACCAAATCATCCCATTTCAACACCAAAACACTCCCCTCATCCTCCTCTACACACTCATACTCACCAATCCCATTCTCCCCCAATTTTCAGAGGTCCGAAAAAACCCTACCCCCACCTTCCAATTTCGGTTTTCAAAGGCCAAATTCACTCCAAATGGCCCCAAGGAAAGAGAAAGGGCAAAGCTCAAGCACTAGGGCATCCATCCCGGGCTACGAGGACATCCTCTTCATGGACAACGAACACCGCACCCGCTTCGTGTCCACAATTGAAAGGCAAGTTAAACCTTCTCGCTTTTTATGTCATGATGCCCTAAAGGAATTAGGAGTGTACAAAATGATGAAGAAATTTTTTCATGAGTTGAGCATGGATAAAATTTTCAAAATGCAATACAACTCAAATGAAAAAATTATCTATGAATTCCTAAGCTCTGTGCACTTTGAGAACAATGAAGAGGACTTTAGGGATGATAAACTCAGGTTTTGATTGTTTAATCACAATCACACCATCACAAAACTTGAGTTCGCCGAACACTTTGGTATTCCGGTCCCGTACCAAAAATCTATATCCGACAATACCGCCTTCGGCCACACCCTATGGACAAAGATGACCGGGGAGACTAAATTTAGCTCCTCCCAACTCTACATTAGTCATGTCCAACATCCCGTCCTACGCCTATTTTTGAAATTCCTTGCCAACTCCTCGCTTGGACGTCCCAACAACCATCATACTAGGATGGGGGATGTGTGCCTCATCTCGGTAGCCCTATTCCGTGTCCACGTGGATTTCAACCTATGTAATCTCATGTGGGCACATCTAAAGAAAGAAAGTGTGGCAAAGGGTGCTATTGTAGTGGGCGGGGTGATTATGCACTTGGCCACAAAGTTCGGGTATACGGATGACTCTCCTATACCCGACTACTGTTTGATGAACATATCTTGGCTGGGCCACTCGGGCTGTACATCTTTTTCACACACCGTTTATGGTGAAGAAAGGCCCAGAAATATGTACAACTGGCACATCCACCCTAAACCCCTCAAATACTTCCTCTTGCCCAACCCAGAACTCCCCCAACTCCACTTCAAAACAGGAAGAGCGGAGCAACATTACCTCTTCCCAAACGCCCTCCCACCACATCTCCAGGAACCGGAACAGGAACCTCCCCAAAACCAACCCGATTACGAGCCCTATGAGCAACTCCATAGCCATCCAACCATGAGCCAGGACTTCCCAGAACAAAGCCAAAACCCTCCACCACCCGACTTCTTTCAACAACTTCTGGAGGGTCAACAACAACTGCTCACGGGAATAACCCAAATGGACAACCGGCTAAACCGATTAGAGGAGGAGCAAAGAGCCGGTTTTCAAAGATTGGAGGATGAGCAAAGAGCCGGCTTTCAACGATTGGAGGAGCTCAGGGAGGCCGATAGACATCGGTATGAGGAAGACCAACATAGGTTCTACAGACCTATGTACTCTTTTATGGCACAACAAGGATCCTTCCATACCATGGCGAACCCTCCTCCACCACCCTCATGGTATGACCCCACTCATTGGGGTAACTTTGGAGGATCTGGCTCCGGGGGTGGAGGATACGACGGCGGAGATGGCGGGGACACCTACATGGGAGATGGTGGCCAAGGGAGCGGCTTTGGAGGGAGCTACTACGGAGGAGAAGGCGGGCACTAGGGACAGTGCTTGATTCAAGTACGGGGGAGACACTCATGATGGTATGTAATTTTCATTTCTACCTAGCACTATGCATGTAATTCTTTTGAACTTTTACACACAAAAAAAATAAAGAAAAAATAAACAAAAGAAAATAAATGCTAGTTAGGTTGAAAACCCAACAAAATGGGCAATCTAAGCAAAAAGGCTTATAAAAAAATGAGTGAGTTGGAGAGAATGGAAAATGAAAAGAGGTGCTAGGATGAAAACCTGAAAAGGCTCCTAGGCAAAATGAGAGATATGAGAGAAATGTTTGTTCTTGCAGGCACTCATTGTATCCTTGTGAAGAATAAGAAGATTCAAGATAAAGAAGAAGAGAGGAGGAGAAAAGAAGACAACACTATGAGGCCATTAAACCCAAGATGCTCTTTTTTTAATTTGAGTTTAAAACTCATTTTTCTTTGTCATCCTTGGTGGTCTTTGTGTTTGTATTATGTTTTTGTTGAACTGTGGAACTTTTGGACAAACATTGACACTTGTAAACATTTGATCTTACTCGAGACGAGTAAAGGTTTAAGTGTGGGGGAGTTGATACGTTCGTAATTTCCATATCTATGTTTATGTTTTTAATTAGTTTTGCTTGACTTTTACTTTGGAAATTACACACTTTTGGTGTAAATAGATTAGATTGTTAAATTCTTGTAAATAGGTTAGATTAGATATATTCTGAGCTCAAGCAGGTTTTGGTCACTCGAAGTACAGTTGGTGAACCCAAAAAGTGAAAAGAAGGTGCAAAAGTTCAAAGACAAAAGAAGATCCTGAATTTTGGTCTATACTCGGTCGAGTATTAGCTATACTCGATCGGGCATTAGGTTGGAACTTCAAATCGGATCAGATCCGAAGACAAGGGAACATGCAGGGAAGATTTCGGCCACGATTTTATGTCTATACCCGATCGGGTAGACCGACATACCCGATCGGGTATGCCTTTGAATTGCAAACGAAGATCGGTCGAGTATGGTCCGAATACCATTTTCTAAGCATACTCGACCGGGTATTCATATATACTCGATCGGGTATACCCTTAGAAAATAGCCTGAAACCGGTCGAGTATGCCTCGGATCGAGTGTTACACACGTACTCGATCGGGTACCATGTATATACCCGATCAAGTACCCGAACCCCATCCCAAAAACCTATAAATACACCTCCTTTCCTTCACAAAAAGAGATCCAATCCCTTTGTACATCTAAGCTCAGTATAGAATAGCTCTTTCTTTATATTTTTCATCATGTTTAGTCTCCAAATGAGGAGCTAAACTCTTCCATCTTGGTTTTGCTACTTTGAAGCTTAATGAATTTGTAAGTTGTGAGTTATTTTCTTTAATCTTCTTCCTTGAATATTAATTCTTTCTTTCAAAATACTATCTCTATATCAAAGTTGGGGAGTGTTACTAAGATGACAATTAGTTAACATCTTGACATTGGTTATAGTAATAGCTATTTCTTCCTCTATGATAATATTGGGGAGTGTTACTAAGATGACAATTAGTTAACATCTTGATATTAATCATAGTAGGATTCATATATTTTAATATTCTTCCTTGAGTATTGATTAATTCCTATTCATATTTCATATTAATATCTTAAACATTACTTAAAGTATCAACTAGTATTGTTTCTCATATTAATTATTACTAGAATCGATCGGTGAATACGCTTGTTATTAATCCGGTTCTTTCGACGGTAGTAAACTTGGAATATTAATGCATGCATCTCATGGTTAATATGCCAAGGGGAATTAATTATATTGATTAAACCAATAAACCGCTTGTGTTGAGGTTATCAATCTCAATCATTTTCATCTTAAGTTTATTGCTACTATCAAGTTAATATACGACACTTGTTCTATATTGACTCGATAGTAAGTTTTATTAATGAACGCATCTCGTTATTAATAACCACCCTCGATGAACTGGATATACTCCTCGATTGAGTATTCGAGAGGAAGATAGTTAAAGATATAATCGGGATCGACGAACATTTCATTAAGTGGATAAAAGCAAAACCAAGTCTTCATCTCATTGAATTAAACTCATATAGGTTGTTTATCTTAGTGTTTTTTAAACCAAACAAATCTAAACCCCCCTTTGTTACCACTTTTATAAAAGAAAAGTATTCCTTTCCCTGTGGATACGAACCTTACTACACTATACTACGTATTAGTGTTGTATTGATTATTTATTTTGAGTGCACCTAACGACTAATGCACGTCAGCTGCAGTTGTGGATTGGCGGTGGTGAAGAGGATGCGGCGATGAAGGGCGGCAGTGAAGGGCTGCGGCGATTGATGGTGTAAGTTCTGAAGAGAAGCAGACGGTTTCGATGGGAATTGAAGGATTGGGAGGGAAGAAGCAGACCGTTTTATAGGGAGGGATAGGGATAGCCGGGTAAGGGCCTATCAGTCCATTGTTTAAAATTTAATCTCTTTTTTGTTCAATTCAAATCTAGTCCTATTTTTTGTCCAGCCTAAAGTCTTTGATATTATTCCTATCATTATTTCTTGATATTAAAGTGTGACTCTATCTACGTTCATGTTACCAGTGTGCGACCAAATCTTTTGCACCACCACACATTTAATTTTTAAGTACATTTTAGTCTCTGTATTTTTTTTGTTTTTAATCCTAAAATTTATAGTGATTTTCTTTTTAGTTCATCGTCGATCTAGTAGAGCTCGCGTCTGAAGAAGGGGTAGGAGAAGAAGCGCGATGTAGACTCGGTCTTCGTTGTAGATCCGAAGGTCTTCATCAAATATGGTGTCTAATCAAGAGTGAAGGAACCTCGTAGTTTCCGATGGTGATGTGCGGAGCTGCAGTTGCGGACTGGCGGCGGTGAAGGGGCTGCGGCGATGAAGGGCGGCAGTGAAGGGCTGGCAGCGATTGGCGGTGTAAGCTCTGAAGAGAAGCGGACGATTTTGATGGGAAGGATTGGGAGGGGAGAAGCAGACAGTTCCAAAGGGAGGGATAGGGATAGCCGGGTAGGGGCCTATCTGTCTGTTGGGATATTGACCTAGAGGCCCAATACCCAGATCGGGAAGGCCCAAGTAACAGGCCCATCACTCCATGATGAAAAGATCAAGTAAGGAGACATACCGAACGGGGTTCGGCCCAAATAAAGGTTGGCCCAATAAGAAGACATACCGAACGAGGTTCGGACTATATATTATACTTGGGCCAATTTGACAGCATCTTCAGTACGGACCAACATCCCGTTCGAGCAACGGCCAACCAGCAAGTGGCCAGGTGCAGTTAATGCCAGACTATGACATCAACAAGTGGAAGCATGGATGACCAAGTCGGTGGAACAACGGCCAATCAGCAAGAGGCAGCCCATGCTCTCCATTAGTATAAATAGAAGGTTTCAAGTCATTGTAAGGGTTAGCATTTCAATACTCAAGCTCTAGAATAGCATCATTTGCTCTTATTTCTTGTATTAAGGCATAGGTTCCGACTTATCGATCGGGAAATCCCTTGTAATCAGATTGGTTAATTAATACAAGTGAGCTTTCGAGTTTTAGTTAGTTTAGATCTTATATTTTCTTATACACCTTGATTCTGGGCCATTCCTGATATATCCAAAGTTCGTGTTGGGCTTTCGGATCTACGGGACTTACCCTCAACATTGGCGCCGTCTGTGGGAACCTTGCAAGAAGTTTCACTTTCTAAACATCCAAAAAACCTCTATTTCTAAAAATGGTCAGAATCAATTCCTATCATACAAACGACGGTTCACACCGTCACGGGAGGAGTCACACCCCGGGGAGTCAAAACCCCCAGGGACAATCCAGTCGAGGATCATATCCTCGTGTTAATGGGGATTTTGTGATTCCCGAATCTCTGAGGAGAAATCCCCAGGCCATGCGTGACATGGCCCAATTCATGCAGCACATGGCAAACGAAGAAGAAGGAGGTTCCAGCTTTACAGGAGAAACTCCACGCGCGGAAACGACCACAGCGTCATCCCGCTCACATACCCATCGGGATAATCGACGTAGCGCCCCACCAGCAGCGCATCCCAGTCCCAGTGACCGAACCCCGGTCGGGTCGCAAGCTAGAGGACCAACTCCCGTCGGTCATCATTTCCAGTATGCCGAGCGGGAAAATACTAGGGCCCCTCAGCGGCATTGGGACCGGGACTGTGCGGATATGAGGGTTCCACCACCGCCCCCTTTGACGGCTCAGGAGGAAGAGATGGCCGAGATGAGGAGGCAAATGAATGAAATGCGGGACCAGATGAACAGGGTACCTGTACAACCTGCACCAGCCCAACTGGGGATTACTTCCCCGTTTACTAGGGAGCTCATGTACGCGGATATCCAAGGGGGTGCCAAGCCCCCGACCGGCCAAATTTATGATGGGGTGGGAGATCCCCACGTACATCTGAGGAGTTACCAAGGCGGACTTATGCTGCTAGGAGCACCCGAGGCTGCCATCTTCCGTTTGTTTTTCAGCACGCTCAGGGGGCCTGCCCAGGAATGGTTCAGGACACTACAACCCGGGTCAATCAATAGCTTTACCGAGTTATCAACGTTATTCTTGGCTCAATTTGCTTCCAGTGCCAATCCCAAACGGCACTTCAGCTATCTGACCAGCGTGAAGCAAAATGCCAAGGAGACCCTCAACCAATTCCTGAAAAGGTGGAGGGATGAAACTTTAACAGTGGGAAGCATGACGGATGATACCGACATTACCCTGTTCACAAATGCTCTCCGAACGGGGGAGTTGTACAAAGAATTGAAGAAGAATCCGGGCACGGCGTACGCCGAAGTATTAGATAGGGCGCGCAAGCATGCCGCCCTAGAAGAAGAAATAATGATCAGGGATAAGGTCATTACGCCTGCTGCCCCGATCAGACTGGCCGATCGGCTGGGTCCTAGCCCAGCGGCCACTTTACCTCCCAAACAAGGGAGATTTACACCCCTGGTCCTATCAATAGCGGCCATCTATCAGAACGAGAGGGACAATATTCCCATCCCGACTTATTCTGGACAGTTCATGGGAACGGATGACAATGCTTTCTGTAAATATCACAACAGAAAGGGTCATGCCACCAATGCCTGCAGGGCCCTGCAAACAGCAATTGAGGATCTGATCCGAAGGGGCCATCTGGGCAAATATGTGAACAAAGATCCGAATGCAATGGGCACGTTAAAACCGGCCAGGAAACCTAACAGCCGGCGTCGGGATGCTCAACGTGACGCCCAGCCTCAGAATGATGTATATGTTCCTCCCAGGGATGAGCCAGAGGGCTCGGGAGGCCCCGGAAAGAAGCCTCGAATGGAGGTCAAGGTCATATTTGGGGGCGGGGAGACCGGAGATTCGAACGCCGAACGGAAAAGGTTCGAGCGGAGTCTTTATGTGGGGTCCGTCTCCGCTCCCCCCAGAAGAAAGGAAGGACAGACCCGATCACGTTCGGGCCAGCTGATCTACCCAACTCTCCAAGCCCCCACAGGGATGAACTGGTGGTGAGCATGTGTATTGACAATGCTTTAATCCGCCGAGTGTTGGTCGATACTGGGAGCAATGTGATTGTATTGTATCTACAATCATTCGAGAAAATGGGTCTGCAAAGGAGCAACCTGACCCACCTGCGGACTCCACTGGCGAGTTTTACCGGTAACTGCATCGAGGCGGAAGGGACCATCCAATTGATGGTTGAAATTGGAGATGAAACCCACAGAGCGTCACTCCGAATGACGTTCGTGGTGGTAGATATAAAGTGCGCCCATAATGCCATTTTGGGCCGACCGAGATTGGAAGATATGGAGGCAATAGCCTCTGTCCGCCACTCATGCATCAAATTCCCCACAGACACTGGGGTAGGGATGGCCAGAACTGACCCAACAACAGCCCGGACATGTTATCGGGAGGCCCTGAAAAAGATGAACACTCGTGGGATGCGGGTGAATACAATTGAGGTGGAAACCCACCGAACGGAGTTC